ACCCTGGACTCCTGGGACCTTTGAGTCCACCTGGATATACGACAACCCTATTCGTTCACTCACGTGCTTCCATGGAATCCCCTCGCGCTGATACTCTTCCTGCTCTTGCTTTAGAACCAGCTGAATGAAGAGCTGCTGCAGCTTCTCATTGCAATAATTAATGCAGAACTGCTCGAAACTATTAATGAAAAAGAGATTGGCTTTAATTAAGAACATAAGAGAAGCCAGTGTTGGATCAGGCCAATGGCCCTTAGAGTCCAACACTCTGTGTCACACAGTGGCCAAAAATACCAGTGCCATCAGGAGGTCCACCAGTGGGGCCAGGACACTAGGAGCCCTCCCACTGTTGACCCCCCCCAAGCACCAAGAAGACAGAGCACCACTTGCCCCAGAGCCCCTATCTATACCTTGTGGCTAATAGCCACCGATGGACCTCTGCTCCATATGCTTATCTAATTCCCTCTAATAAGAACATAAGAGAAGACAGTGTTGGATCAGGCCAAAAACCCATCCAGTCCAACACTCTGTGTCACACAGTGGCCAGAAATACCAGGTGCCATCAGGAGGTCCAGCAGTGGGGCCAGGACACCAGAAGCCCTCCCACTGCTGCCCCCCCTCCCCCCAAGCACCAAGAATATAGAGCATCCCTTGCCCCAGACTAAGAGTTCCTATCTATATCCTGTGGCTAATAGCCACTGATGGACCTCTGCTCCACATGTTTATCTAATTCCCTCTTGAAGCTGTCCATACTTGTAGCCACCACCACCTCCTGTGGCAGTGAATTCCATGTGTTAATCACTCTTTGGGTGAAGAAGGACTCCCTTTTATCTGTTCTAACCCAACTGCTCATCAATTTCATTTATCGTCCAGAAAGAAATTTAAAGTCAGAGATGCATCCTTTGTTCGTAACGCTCACCTGTTATTGTCGAAGATCTCAAAGCCGTAAATATCCAGGACACCGATGACCGTGTTCTTCCCGTGAACCGTGCTGTTGTGGTCCTTCACTTCAATGACGTCGTTGATGTGTGTCACGATCCAGCAGAAGAGACGTTCGTATATCGCCTTCCAACCAAGAAAACGCAGAGGTCACAATTAGTCACTCTACAGATTAAATCTGCCTCTCGGTGGCATTCTGAAAGAAACCTGAAGGATACGGGGTCAGGTCTAACCAGGGGTCATTTTGTAGAAAAAGAGGTACAGGAGATCATTAGCATGACTCATTAGCATAACTCGTTTGCATGTGCCACACCCCCTGACATCACCGGAAGTGTGTCAGAAGGCAACACCCACCGCTCAGGCTCCACTGGACTGTTTTGGATTGCTAGCTATTGGGGGGTGGGGGGGACGTGCAGATCTGTCCTCGCAGAGGAGGGAGAGCTTGTACCTGAATAAAACTTGGTCTTAAAGGTGCCACTGGACTGTTTTGGACCGGGGGGCCGGGGGGGAGGGCTCTGCAGCTTTCCTGCCTGCTTTTTGCTCTGACTGAGGGCTGCTGGGAGCAGGGGGCGGGGCTTGTTGCATGTGCCCGCCCCCTGGGATCTTTACTGCCAGAGCTCCGCTCCTGTGCGCTCCTGCAGGAAATGACCCCTGGGTCTAACCTTTTTTCAGCTAGGTTCAGGTGGGTAGCCATGTTGGTCTGAAGAAGCAGAACAAAGTTCGAGCCCAGTCTGGCACCTTTAAAAACAACAAAGTTTAATAAGGTGCTGTGTGTATGGACACAAGAGCTTATACCTTGGATAAAACTGTTGGTCTCAAAGGTGCCAAATCGGGCTCGAACTCAACATTTATTATGATTTAGTGATGAGCCAGCAGCAATTTAACAGTACAGTTTACATACAAATGTAAAATTAATATAGGTAAAGGTAAAGGTTCCCTTGCTTGAACGCCAGTCGAGTCCGACTCTAGGGTTGCAGTGCTCATCTCCGTTTCAAAGCCGAAGAGCCAGCGCTGTCCAAAGACGTTTCCGTGGTCATGTGGCTGGCATGACCAAACACCAAGGCGCACGGAACGCTGTTCCCTTCCCACCAAAGTGGTACCTATTTATCTACTTGCAATTTCTTGCTTTCGAACTGCTAGGTTGGCGGGAGCTGGAACTAGAGACGGGAGCTCACTCCGTCATGTGGCACACTCGGGTCTCGAACTGCTGAACTACCGACCTTCCACAGCCTGCAGTTCAGCGTCTTAACCACAAAGATTAAAAATCTATCACCTTATTGTGCTGCAATTAATTGTACATAAAAGAGATTTAAAAGTTTGGATGAGCTGCTTTTTGATGGACAAAGTCCCAGCAAAGAATTCAGCCGCTTTAGAGGTGGCCTCATTGGCGTGGCCTGCAAGGAGGAGTATGTGTAGAATCCTTCAGATCTCCCTGGGAACTTGGATACAGAAGAAGTGAGATATGTGGAACGGATGGCCTTATCACATGGACAAGGTGATAACACATGTTGCACTTTTCCAACTGCGTTCAATTGGCAGGAACACAGACGCTGAGGGTAAGGAATATGTAACTCTCTCCCTTCCCAATAGTGCTGAGGGCAGGTGTGACGAACCGACCTCCAAAAGCAGGATGCTTTGGACATCAAACTCAGAGAACTGGGAGATTAGGGGTTAATGCCTCTCTGAAAAGCAGTTTGAAGAAAAGGAAGAAGAGGAAGAAGAGGAAGAAGAGACTGGATTTATACCCTGCCCTTCACTACCCAAAGGAGTCTCAGAGCGGCTTACAAACTCCTTTCCCTTCCCCTCCCCACAACAGACACCCTGTGAGGCAGGCAGGGCTGAGAGAGCTTTGAGAGAACTTTCCTTGAGAGAACAGCTCTGACAGAACTATGGCTTGCCCAAGGTCATCCAGCAGATGCGAGTGGAGGAGTGGGGAATCAAACCCAGTTCTCCCAGATTAGAGTCCGCGCACTTAACCACGACACCAAACGGAGTGACAGGCTGCTACCTGCTTGCGCTCCCTTCTCTCTGATTTGTCAGCACCAGCTGAGGAGAGTTTTATAAAATCTTGTGAGATTTGTCAGTCGGTCATCATTTGGACTTTGACTTGGCAGTTGCCAGTCAGGAGGAGTGTGTGTGTGTCAGTCTGAGGGAAACAGACAAGTCACTTGAGAAGTGAAAGGACACCATTCCTAGCCTTTACTGTACACCAACACATTTGGGAGAAAGCTCAGAAATCAGAACTCCACATCTAAGTGTCAGAACTTGCTGAATTCTGTTTATTCACTGTCTCCAGAATTGGGGCTTAGGTTTGCTGGAAGTGGCTGGGCAGCTGGTGGAAAACTGCCCGTCTAGCCAAACGGAAAAGGGTTATCGCTCCTAGGAAAAGGAGGGTATTCCTTACCCAGTTATTTAGAAGGCTCAACTCTGGTTTGAGAAGTGAAAAGGGAAACGGTCGTGGACTCCTCAAGCGCACAGACACGACAGAAAGGGAACGTTATAATCCCAAAATGGAAATATTGATATATGGGACGAAAGTTCTAACTAAGATATTTTTATGAAACTTTATTAAGACACACTGTTGCTGAAAGAAATCTACAAGATAGAACAATCTCTCAAAGTAAAGAACTGAGTCTTTTAGAGTTTAAGCTTCGATTGTACCCTGTCGCCTGTTCAATAAAATCAACCCTTTTTTTGTTTCAGCTTTACTTTGTGTCTAGTGCCATATCCAAAGGGTTATATAAGAGGGCTCTTGCTGAGTTACGGTAAAACTCTGTCCTGGGCAAAAGCCAAGTAACTTCTTTAACACTGGGTGGGACACAAGGAAAGTTATAAGTTTATAATTCAAACAGACGACTAAGAGGCTGTCCTGTCAGAGTGGTGAACAAGCAGCATTCCCTCTAAGCTGAGTTAGTGTGAGCTAGCTCCGAGTTTTTTAGCCTCCGGCTCACACATTTTTGTCCAAGCTCGGGAAGGAGGGCTCCGGAGCAAACTAATTGATGCAGCAGCCAAATCGCTCGCTCACAACTTTAATGCCAGGAGCTTGCAAAGTAGAATTCACAGTTTAGAGGGAACATTGGTGAACAGTGTTTGGGTGGGAAAATCTGCCTCATGGAAGAGAAGGAGCAGGGGTCCGTCATATAACAACATATCTTGCATTTTTTCAACTGCATTCAACTGGCAGGAACACAGACGCTGAGGGTGTCTGTATAGGTAACTACCTCCCTTCCCAGTAGCAGTGAAGGCAGGCAATTCAAATGGGCCAAGGGGAGAGCTCTGCAGAACTGGGGAAATTCTAAAGCGTGAAGACAGTTCATCAGCACAAAGTTTTGGATGTGATTCCCTACTCCTGGACGGAGATGTGCCGGAGCTCTATCAGTGTGAAGAACTACACCCCAAATTCATTGTTTGTATTCCTTTAGTTCCCAAGAACCCAAGATGGCATATTGCTAAGGGAGGGAAGCCAAGAAGTTGTATTTTATTCTCAACTGCATCCACCCCAACTTGAGCGGTAGCTTCAGCTGTCAAAATCACAGCAAGGGGCAAGCTAGCCAAGTGAAGAGTAGAATGCTGCATTTTCCCCTTTTGCTCCTTCATTTTTGCCGGTGTCATAAAATTCCAATTTAGAACTGGCTGATTGTCAAACGGTCAGTCCAGGATTATTTTCCATGGTGAAGGCTTAACTGCTATATGACTATAGCATCAAGGGACATGTGTTTCCCACACACCCCACAGCTCCCACTGAGAAAACTTGGTTGCTGTTACATAACTTGACAGATGATCTTCTCAAACATATGCAAGTTATATTGCCCAGAATTCTCAAATATTACGGGCTAACCCCTACTGGCACCACCAAACAGCTCAGAAGGGACTTCCAAGTAGCCACCTGGTCTGGCTTCCTCCCCTCCCATGTACAGGGGTTGGCTGGTCTGAAGGTAGTGGGTTATTTCAACTGATTGTTCACAGTCAGTTACAGATTGATCTCCATGTACAGGCTAGAAAAATATTCATGAAAAGATAGAGCCACAGGAACTGTGTAAAGTGCGCTCAATGTTTCTATAATGATAGCAATAATGTTATAAATATGAAAATTACAAAAGTGATACTGATACATTCAAATTGTAAATCCGGTTACATAAGATAGAAGATAACAATGACGGTGGTCTCCGGAATGTGATGCCGTTTCGACAAGCATCTTCTTCTGACCAAGAATCTATAAGCTTATACATGATATAATACATATGAACATTAGTACTTACATCTTAGGTAATTGTACAACAAAATTTAAAATAAACTTGGTGCAAAACCTTACTAGATGATGTGTGGAAAATTGCACTTCACTAGAAAGGCTAGAAAAATATTCAGCCAATACTCTGTTTTGCGGACGTACTTTCATGGTTGCCTTCAAATATCGAAAGACAACATGCCCGCAGTTAAAGAACTTTCCACAGCAAAGTAGGAAGGCACAGAGACATGAGAAAGACCTGAAAGACCTGTGCAGTCCGAGCTGTAGAAAGAGAATCGACATTCACCTTTGCAAATGCGTTTCTGCCGTAGGTAGCTTCTTGCTCAGTATGCTGCTTATCGATGACGTCTCGGCCGGTGGCGACCGTTCGAAAAAGCAGGGCCTTCTCTACCATGTCCGCCTTGGTTGACAGCAGATCTGCGATGACAGAGACGAGCTTGCTGTTTTCAATCACTGGCACATCCGAATCCACAGAAAACTTCAAATTGCCCTGTAGACAGGGGGGAAACCAGAAAGAGATGGATTTGGTTTATTCTCCATCCGTGGGAGTAGCAAAATTACTCCGACAAGGCCACTGACTTCAAGCAAATACAAATCAACGCAGGCCAACACGAGGCCCTGCCCTTTGCAAACACATCTCTCACTAAGAGATGAAATGCACATCAGTAACATCTGGACAGGAAGCTATACTGTAAGCTATACTGTAAACCCTCTGGCCCTCAAAGGCTCACACTCACAATTACTTCCCTTCTGCCTTCCGTTGTTCCAGCTTGAATTGTCCAGAACTCCAAGGAGGGAACAAGCATAGGGGCTGAGCATGTTATTGCTGCTTTCACTTTCCCCGGCTTAGCAAACGGATTCTTTTCTCTTGTTTAAGACATCAGGAGGTGTCTGAAAGCATCTGGCTATAGCGCTAAGAGCACTATAGCCGTTTCAACAAAAGAGCTTGCCCTGCCGTCAATCTCCACAGTTATCCGCAACTACAGATTATTTCCCCAGAGGGTTCTGCATCAGGGTTCTGACCCGCATCTTTGTTGTACGCACAGTTTATGTGTGACACTGTTATGCACTCAGCACTCTGTCTGCCTTAGTAGACTAACCTTAGTGGACTCAGCTAGCACCTATGACATACACAGACATACAGATATGTTAAGTGCCACTGATGATTCTAATTACAGAGACAGAAATCAACTATGAATATATATTCAGGTATTCACTTTGGCTCAATGCTTAAATGCATTCTGGGGAAAATACTAAATGCTGACAGGCAGTAACTGATTGCTTATGACCTTGCTTGTGATGGCTAGCTGTGACTGCTGCGCATGTTCCTAAATTAGGTTCTTACCGCTCTGAAGATGTTTTGTCCAGCTGCTCCCTGGTTATCAGCTTCTTATCTAGGTTTACGTGGGTTTTACAAACTTTTGAGCTATAAATTCTTTAGTTCGAAGGGGGAGCCGGGAGGAAACACAGCCGGCTTAGTTTAGCGCATGCGTGCAACCCCGTGACTGCGCATGTTCCTGATGTCAGCTCGCTTGCGTTAGATGGAGAACATACCACTATGTACCCATATCTGCTACATTAGATACTTTTTTGGAACTTCACCGCGTGAGAAGAAGGAGGCCTATTGTTTAGCTGTAGGAGGTACATTTTTGCCCGTGAAAATCCAACTCACAGGTTCGGGCCCAATCAGAATGGTGTGACGGATATGTGACAAAGTTTGATGGAACCAATAATTATGATTTATTTGTAGGCGTCATAGGGGGTATAAAATTCCATGTCTTCCATTGTAACCTTAGGGAAGAGCTGTGGGTATTCGAGGATTCGAAACCTTGTTGTGCCTGTATTTTCCCTCCTTTATTAATAAAGTTTTTAAAGTCTGGATTCTGCTCTACAAGACTGCCAAGTGCTCTCTCAAATTGGGCTGGGGAAGCACAACCCGTGACGGAGTTTTTGTCTTACATCTTCCACCCCCCCAATCTTTTGAATCCTGTGTTTGCCAGAGGTTTTCGTTGCCGTGCTCCTGAACTCGTGGTTTCAAGTAGGGAATTCTTCACATTGCTCCTAAACTCCACATTAGCACCATCTGCATCACAAGTGCTCGCTTTTTCCCACGCCCACCACTCCCGCCCAGCCACAAATGTCACCCCTCGCCATGGGAATTCCCCCTACTGTGGAATCAGTGATTCAGACCCAACGTTCTTCAATGCACCGGGAATGAGAAGCAAGTACCAGATGCGGAAATGGTTTACTTGTGGTCTGACAATTGCACAGGTTGACTGAGGTGACCACAGCTTGGACTCTACGCTCTTTTAGTCCTCTCCAAAAGTGATCTCTCTTGTCTGCTCTGTCTTTATCACGAAGGGATCCCCTGAGGAAATGCTTCAGATTCATGGGGCTCCTTGCTGGCAAGCAGGCTGTCATGATCTGGGCTGTGCCACCAGAGGCCTACTAGGCCCAGGGAGCCTGGCTAGCAGTAGGTGAGGCCTACAACTCCCAGAAGCCCCTGAGAGGTTTTAGAGCCAAAAATTGACCAACAGGGAAGAAGAGGGCTGGGGAACAAAAGGGCTGGTGCCAGAGCAGAAGCTGTTCTTTCTTCCCAGAGGGCAGAGCCAGAAGGAAGGCTGCTGCAGGGGAGAAACCCTCATCCTGAGGGAAGGGTGAGTAGTCCAAGGCCACTTGAGATAGTGAGCTAGGGACAGTGTATATTTAGACGCGGTAGGGCATTTGATTCCTTTTCTTTTCACCCACTTGCTGTTATTATTCTGCACCTTGTTGTTTGACCTATAAAATAAACCTTTTCCTTGTTGTACTCTGCCTGATCCTCACGCCTATTATTCGGCCAAAAGGGAGGTCTGAAGGTCTTGGGAGGGTGCTCTGGGCCTTCTCAAGGGATCCTAAATCCAGAGTGGTGGCAGCATCAGGTGACACCCCACCTGAGCCGTGACACAGGCATTGTGGCTTCTACAAAAGGAACACCAGCATTTTTATACTCTTGAGAGCAGCGTAGTCTTTCAACGTCCTCAAGGCAGTAGAGCGTGGGGGTAATTTTCAAGATGCCAAATAAAGGGAGGACGGAAAGTAGCATAGACAGCTCAACAGGACCTCTAGGATCCCATCTGGCATCAGTTGTCAAAGATTCTGACCTTCCAACATCCTACGTGAAATACTGGAGCCATTGCTGGAGGCCTACCGAGCCTCTAATCCGGACTGAAGTGCTAGATAAGAAATGTGTACTGTTTAGTGCTCCCTACTCCAGTGAAAGGGATTTTGTGCCCAAGAATTATTTGCTCAAATCTGACACAGACACAATACGGGAAGCAGAACAGGAAGAAAACAGCTATCACGTACCCTGATTGTTAACGGTATAGATTAACCGAACAAAGAATGCCTAACAATTGCTGCAAATAAAAAAGAAAATGTTTCTTGCTACGTCAGCATGGCTCTTTCAGTTCCATCCTTGAGAAAGACAACTATGAATAAATGGCTTCCTGCCCAGAACCAAATCTAAGAACGAACTGAACACAGCTTTGAAACAAGTATTTCTTTGGGAAATTCATGCTAAGCTCAGAGTTGCTTACATCATGCCTTCAGAGGAAACAAATTAAACGGTTTTAATACAATGGGAGTTTCATATAATTGGGCCTATGTAAGATAGGTTTCCCTTGCTCGAAAGCCAGTCGAATCTGACTCTAGGGTTACGGTGCTTATCTCCGTTTCCAAGCCGAAGAGCCAGCGCTGTCCGAAGACGTTTCCGTGGTCATGTGGCCGGCATGACTAGACACCAAGGCGCATGAAACGCTGTTACCTTCAGCCATCGGCAACAGCGGTACCTATTTATTTACTTGCAATTTCTTGTTTTTGAACTGATAGGTTGGCAGGAGCTGGAACTAGAGACGGGAGCTCACTCCGTCATGCGGCACTCGGCTCTCGAACTGCCGAACTACCGACCTTCCAGCCTGCAGTTCAGCATCTTAACCACTGAGCCACCGCAGCTCCTCTATGTAAGACAGCCACATCCAAAACAACCATAATCACTCAGATGTGGGAAAAGTGAGACTTCCTTATCTTTTTGAAAGTGTCCTGGTGAAACACCAAGGCGCATGAAACGCTGTTACCTTCAGCCATCGGCAACAGCGGTACCTATTTATTTACTTGCAATTTCTTGTTTTTGAACTGATAGGTTGGCAGGAGCTGGGGCCAGAGACAGGAGCTCACTCCATCATGCGGCACACTCGGGTCTTGAACTGCTGAACTACCGACCTTCCAGCCTGCAGTTCAGCATCTTAACCACTGAGCCACCGCAGCTCCTCTATGTAAGACAGCCACATCCAAAACAACCATAATCGCTCAGATGCGGGGAAAGTGAGACTCCTTTATCTTTCTGAAAGTGTCCTGGTGAAATTCCTTTGAAATTGTATTTTATTTTTTAAACTTAAGGTAGGTAGGATAAAGCAGGGGACTCCAATGTAGTGCCTACGGGTTCCACAGCACCTGCTGACATCTTGTCTGGTACCCACCAAGTGTTTTCAGGAAGTGGGAGGGGCCAGTTAGGGCTTCCGCCCAGCAAGGCTTCTTATTGGCTGTGTAGATTTTTCGGCAGCACCTGCAACACACCACAAGGCGCTTCACGGTGTGTCTGAAGTTCAGCTGCAGCAATCATTTTGTGGCTGGCTCCACCTCACATGGCAGCCACGTTGTGGCAGCCAATTTTGCTGCTGTGCCCACTATGCCACGTCAGAATTCCAAAGGCGCCCACCGGCTCAAAAAGGTTGGGAACCCCTCGGATAAGGGGACGACACACAAGTTTTTCTATTTCTTATTTCACTGACATACGCAAGTGTTCTTTTGTATCACTGTGATTCTTTTATATTTAATCATTTCAAGCATGATTAGACTGATCTGAAATAATAGTCTTCTAAGTTTTAACACTGGGTGGTTTCGGGCTGGGATATTTTCACTTGCCACCTGGAAGAAAGAAACTTTTAACCTCTCTTCAGTCAAAGGGCTGTTTACCTGTAAGAGACTAACTATTAGAGAGAAGAGTCATCTCAATACAGACAGGTGGTTTAGTGGTTAAGGTGTTGTTTCAGATCAAAGAGCCTCTTAGTCTCCCTGTGCATGTTTTAAAATAAATGCTTCTCCCATGGGTGGGACAGTACTTCCTAACCCATCAGCAACAGAAAGGCGCCGGGCTCTTTAATAATGCCGGGTGATGTACGGGGCCCGGGAGACAGTCTAATATATATATGGTATCAGATTGATCTAATTTCTGTGCACTGAGGACAAGCAAGTCCTAGGTTACAAACTGAACCCTCCAATGCAAGAACAAGATGCATTTCTTCCTTTAGGAGGTGCGATTGTCAGAAGAAATAAAAAAGTTTCAGTTTTGTTTTTGCATGTGGGTGGGTATTCTGTTTGAAATAATTGTTTGGATACACTATATTTTTAATATGCTAGTTGTGATAATTTCATGCCAAGTAAAAATGTCCATAGTCATATTTTATGTTCCTAAAGTAACAGAATGACTTTCAATCTAGAAAAGACAAAAGAAATGCTAATGTAGCAATTTTTCATTTTTTTCAAAAATTTCCGTTTCCCCCCGAAAAAAAACGGGTTTTTTCCCGAGCTTCAAAATTTCCGGAAATTTTACATCTCTAGTCCCGTCCCATCGCACGCCCTCAGCTCGCTCCCTCAGCGACAGCCAAGACACCGGGGGGACTCAGGGGAGAAGGAGCGGTCTGGCATGGACAACGCTCCTCTAGCCAAGGGGAGGGGGGCGTGCCCGGGTGAAAGCTAGAGTAAATTGGAGGATCCCTGCCTTACCTCGTACTCACGGAAAGGAAGCAGCCACAGGCGACAAAGACGACGCCCAAGGCGGAAGTAGGCACTCCCCTGCAGGCACAACACCAGGGGGATTTGAAAGGGGGCGGGGCAAAAAGGGGAAATCCTCAGGGATTGGGGAACACAGAGAGAGACAGATGGAAGAGCCTATGGGCTCTGAGGGGTGTGTCTGGACGGGAGGAGAGGGGGATAAAAGAGAGGAAACGGAAAGTGCCGGGGAGGAGTTCAGAGTTAATCGCATACCTAAGCCAGGGAGAGAGCAAAGAAGCGATGAATCTGAGAAAGGTGACTGGAGTGTGGTGCAACACTCAGCCCTTTCACATCTGAGGTGCTTGTTTCCTTGAAAACCCTCTCCTCAACACGGCGACGGGATTTAAAGGACTCGGGGTCAACCCTGCGCACGACAGTAACAAGCAGGAAAGACCCACCATTTGTCGAGAAGCCCAACTCACCAAATGAAGAATGGCAGCCAGGATTTTGTATACTGTCTGAACTTCATCCGGTCCGAACCCAACCACTTTCATGGCATCGGCAACAGCTTTGAAGTCGGCACCGTCATTGATGGAACACTGGAAAATGAAAAGCAACAGCAGTAGTACATGTTCCCTCCAAGCTGTGGAGTCTTGTGAGCAAAATTTCTACTTTGTGAGCTACTGGCATTAAAGTTGTGAGGGAGCGATTCGACTACTGCATAAATTAGTTTGTTCTGGAGCCCTCCTTCCTGAGCTAAGACAAAAATCTGTGAGCCGGAGGCTCAAAAACTGTGAGCTAGCTCACACTAACTCAGCTTAGAGGGAACACTGCATGATGGGACCCCTCGTTGTAGGCTATACCAATGCATGACGACACTGATGGTATTGAACTGTGAAACCAAAAGGGTAGTTTTTAATCCAAGAATTCAGGGAATAAGAGCTTTCCAATATTGTCAGCAGGCTCTTCCAAGGAACTGGAACGCAGGGGGCCCCAAGAAGAATTATCCAGGAGTATGGCTTTGCCAAAAGCCACTGTGAGAAACATGTTGGAGCAGCAGGCTCTAGTCTATGCTCCCATCCTTAATTCGCCGCAAGCCCCTTTGCCAATGCAGCCCTTTTACCTCTGGGTTGGCAATGCGGGAGAAACAAGCAGGGGAGCTGTGAAGACTCACGGGGAGAAGGAATCCCCCGCCCCCAATCCTGCACCATCTCCACTTCCTCCTGAGCCGGCTCCTGATTTTCCAAGCCTTGCTTCCCTTGCTTTACGTCTGAAGCTGCCTTACAGACCCTGGGTCCATCCAAGTCAGTCTTGTCTACTCAGACTGGCAGCGGCTCTCTCCAGGATCTCAGGAGGAGGTCTTTCCCATCACCTCCTGCCTGGTCCCTTGAACTGGAGATGCTGGGGATTGAACCTGGGACCTTCTGGGGATTGAACCTGGGACCTGGGACCTTGCGAGAGCCAGTTTGGTGTAGTGGTGAAGTGCGCGGACTCTAATCTGGGAGAACCGGGTTTGATTCCCCACTCCTCCACTTGCACCTGCTGATGTGACCTTGGGTCAGTCACAAGCTCTGGCACAGCTGTCCATGAAAAAAGAGCAGTTTGTGTCAGAGCTCTCTCAGCCCCACCCACCTCACAGGGTGTCTGTTGTGGGGAGGGAAAGGGAAAGGAGTTTGTAAGCTGCTCTGAGACTCCAAGTGAAGGGTGGGGTATGAATCCAATCTCCTCCTCCTCCTCTTCTTCTTCTTCTGCATGTAAAGCAGAGGCTCTTCCACCGAGC